CAGGATCTTGGACACACACGCACACGCACCCAGCGTGAGTTTTAAGCCGCCGGGTCTGGGACGTGAACCGGGGTCAACTATGTGGGAGTCCAGCGACATAGCCATTACGCTAACTGCTGGTCCCAAGGCAAACATTTTTAACAACTAGAAATGTCCAATAATAGAATAAGCTGACCCAAAGGAGAATTTGGCATTACATGTGTGTAAGCAAAGCTCAATAAGTGAGGTGAAAGGGATATTGGATGATTAATCTTCAAGGTCCCTTCTGAATTTACAGTTCTGCTATTTTAGGTTGGTGTGTTTCAGACCATGGTATGTATACCACTGGGATATGCGGTAATGTGCAAAGGGATATACAAAGCTATTGCTTTTGCTAGAAGATTCTGGATGGCATTTGTATATATTTAAAAAAAAAATAGAGAATTGGGAATCAGCAGGTGGCGTGGTGCTTAAGGTGTTGTACTCCCACATGGCCAACCACAGTTTGAGTCCCAGACCTGGTGACTTGGTTTCTTACTTTCCCCTCTCCTCTCTCTCTGTCTCTGTCTGGTCAAATTAAAAATAAAAATAAATAATTCTTTTAAAAAATACAGATGTATTTTGAAGGAAATTTAAAAATTTGCAAGGGGCGTAATAAACAGTTCTCCTAAAAAAAAAAATTTGTAAGCATAGGAGCCTTCAAGAAATGTCTACTTTCAGTGGCCCTGGTACATATATTTGCTTTTTCCTCACTGTTAGGAGTATGTTCGTGGAAATGTGTGCGGCCTTGTGCTCTAATGATCACATTACTCGGGCAAAAGTAAAACCAGAATCTGGACACAAATTAAATGGGGGGAAAAAAGGGTCCCTGAGAAACACTACTTTGGATAGACTTTCCAGCTAAGAAAGGGCATCGATGAAAATGATGCCTAGGCTGCGGGAAGGGTCACAGGCGAGGATCCTATAGAGACTGTGCCTTTTCACTCTAGGACCAGAGGAGAGTTTTCGTAACATGCACTCCTGGCTTAATTCTGTATTTTTTTTTCCCCTAGAAATTGGTCCACAATGTGCATAACCACATCACCAATGAGAAGCGATTCAATGGGTCTGAAAGGTATGGTCCTCTTGAGGAGAAAGACTCACAGGTACTTTGCTGAGGAGAGGCAAGTCGAGGGGTGACCCAGTGTAACCGCGAGGCTGAACGGGGCTGTGGCTCTGATCTCCCCCTTGCCCGGGTCCTTTCTCAGGCCGTGGAGGAACTGCCACAAACCTGATCGGGACCGGGGTCTGTGTGGCTTTTACAAAGCCGACTGCCTCATTCACTGTCTTCTCTTTGTGGCAGCATCAAGTCCTCTTGGAATATTTCGGTAGTGAAGTTCCTTCTGGAGAAGCTCAAGCAGGAACTGGTGAGCAGTCCCCACAACTACACTGATAAGGAGCTGAAAGGTGAGGAAAACTGCGGTACCTCCCGCCGCCCTTTGTCTGCCTTCCCTCCCACTCCCAAGTTCATGGTCAGAGGCGAAAAGGCACAATGATGATTTAGGTGGTTTTGAAAATAGAGGATTTAAAAAACACTTTTTTGGCTATTCCTCTCACCTGTAATATATTCACAGGATTACCTCGAATTGCCTTTCTATTCCCCTGCTCAGTCTGAAATGAGAATGGGAGAAGAAAAGGGCCAGATCCTCGTCGTGCGTTATGTTTACGCAGGGCCTGCATCTGAGGTGTTAGGGAGAAGGCGGCAGAAGCCAGACCTGCTCCTCTTGTCCCTAAATAGTAGCGTCTAGGTTTTCTGTTTGCTTTACTCTCTTCTGTTATTTGTGGCTAACCCTGAAGAATTATGAAAGCTCCTGCCGAAAAAATATTTGCCATCTGCTGTCAGCAGAGGAGCAATGGGGGGAGGGAG